CAATTTTTAACCGACCTACTGGATTGGGTCGGATTCAACCAACCCATCTATAATGAGTCTGGTTTCTAATATTATCAAAAGTTGGTTGACCGATAATTATCGGTCATCCAACTATATTATTAAAAATATAAAATAAAGACCATGTTTTCTTAAGAGATTATTGAAATTATTAAAATAATTAGTATTTTAAATTTTAAAAACAATCAACAAAGGAAAAAATAAATTGACCTAAATCTTTGACCGGTTTTTTTATGCCCAAGCTTAAACAAAAATGCCACAAAACTCCACTAAAAATCTCTTGTCTATGCTTGAAATTACTTTGAATTTCCTAATTATATATTTTTCGTTAATTGTTATTTATTATTTTCAACTGATAAATGATGATCGTGCGTGGCATCACGCTGAATGTGAATATTTTTACTTCGAAATTTGAATTTTTTTTTTAAGTGAACTAGGTGACGAGTATAAACCATCAACCGACCCATTCCGAAACCAAATATCCGGTTATCAACCATCAACCGACCCACAAAGGTAGGGTCGGCAACGATTTTAGAATTTGAGCAAAACAGGTTTGATGGATAGGTCGGTTTTTAGGCTGGTAATCGAATGACCCAACCCAGTCCCAACCCTACTCAGAATCTTATTAATAGAAGGTCAAATTCCGTACACACTTATAAGTTATAGGCCCAAACTTAAATGCACATATATCCAGATAAAAAACAGTTTCGCAAATAAACTCACTATTTGAAACATTAATATTAACTTTTTCGGAACTTTTTTTAAACGACCAACACATTAATATTACTGTGTTAACAACAATATCACTATATATGAAACAGTAATATTGCAGTCAACACTGTAATATTACTATTAACGACATGGTAATATTATTATAGACGGTGACAGACAATACCGTTCAGATAGCCGGAAAAAAATGTTTCTTTTTTTAAATGAAGGTCAACGCCGGAGACCGGCATTAACAGCCGATGGCGGAAAAAAACAAAAGTCAACACCGGAGACTTATAGAATTAAACACATGAGTATATGCTCACGTTCATTATGATTGATATATTGAATTTATGTTCTATAAAATTTTAAGTTTCCGCAATGTATGAGTGCATGCTTTTCCAATTCATCAACCATGCGCGACAAACTTGTACCATATAAAAATTATTGCTGGCAAAGAGATGCTAATCCCGAGTATTTGACTCAACGTTTTTTTCCCCCACCAACTAGGCCACCAGTTACTTGAGTAAATATAATGAGATTTTAAAATAAATTGGAATTGCCTTAATATAAGGTCTTCAAACGTTATTTTTTAAGCCGATTGCCTTAATGCAAATATGTTTATCATTGACCAATCATCTCCCATTTATTGGTCTGCAAGGTGCTTATCGAGGAAATCTGGAAGGATTTGTTTCTTTGGCTGAAATCACACTACACTTATGCCCTTGAAACGGCAATTTTGCATGTCACCGGCTTCCACATTGGGCATTTGAATTGTGATGTTAATGTTCTTCTTTTATCTTGTTTTCATGACAAGGATCACCGATTGTGGACTTTTTTTCCCCATTTATTAATGAATTATCTTTAATTATAAAATGACACTTTACAAATAAGTAATATGGATACTTATTCAAAAAATGGTTCAGACAAAAAACTATTTTACAAAAAGTTCATATTTTAATATGCTTCAATTTCATCCTTTAATTTAATTTAATCTCAATTTGACCCAAAATTTCAAAAATTATTCAATTTTGAGAACAATTTCCACCGTCGTCGCCGTTGATTTTTTTTTTCCTTTCTATTTTTCCGCCGATTTCCGGCGTTGACTTTTTCAATTTTTTATGTTTTTATTTTTAATTTTTTTTCGGCTTCTGCCGCCGCTGACCGGCGGTCAACGCCGGTCTCCGACGGCGTTGATTTTTTTTTTAACATATTTTTTTCCTCCGTTTAAACAACAATATTGTTGTGGCTGACAATAATATTTACTATATTACTGTTAAACACAGTAATATCAACTATACTACAATTTTACACAGTACTATTGCTATATTAATCTCTAGCATAGTAATATAATACAACAAAAGCCATTATTATTGTGTAATAGAGTAATATTAATTTGTTGACCGTTCAACAAAGGTAAACATAATAAAAAAACCAAAAGAATTAATATTGATGTGGTTGACAGTACGTCAACCACAATAATATTATTGTGTTTACAGTAATATTATAATAGTAGACAGTAATATTATTACGTTATTCAGTCAACAACTCAAACAAAACAAAAAATCCAAAACGATAATAATATTAATGTGGTTGACAGTAATATTATTGTGTTCAGTTATTTTACTGTCAACGACTGTAATATAATTACGTTGACTTGTCAACAAATTAAATAAACTAAAAAAAAATAAAATGAAAAAGCCAAAAAAATTATAATATCGTCGCTGACTCTAATTATACTGTAAACGACGGTACAATTACATAAATGTACTGTCAACGACAGTACAATTACGTTAATGTACTGTCATTGACAGTATAATTACTGTTAATGACAGTGCAATTACGATCAACGTTTAGCGACGTGGGTAAAAAAAAATGATAAAAAATTTAGAGGGGAAAAAATCCCTGAAAAAAGTTAACGCCGGAGACCGGCGGTTAACGCTGGAAACCGACGGCGAAAAAAGCAAAAAAAAAATAGAAAAAATTAACGCCCGAAACGACGACAAGAAAATAATTCAGAAAGAAAAGAGTCAAAATTGAATTTTTTTTGGGTCAAAATTGATTAAATTGGGGTTACAATTAAGAATTGACTATAAATGATTGGGGTAGTATTGTCATATACATTAGTTTTTCATTTATTTATAAATACATATTAAAGGGATGAGATTATTGGCGAAAGAGATATACACATAAAACTAGAATAATAAAGATAGTTGGTCAGGGACTTATGCACAAAAACCCCATTATAAAAATCACTTTTCTAAAAATCGGTCGAGGCGGCCAATTAATCGGTATCCGAGGTGGAGGCGGTCCCAAACCTTTTCGATTTTAGTGTAAATGTTGAAAAAATCGGTTTTTGCCTGTGAGGCGGTTTTAGGCAGTATGAGGCGTGTTGAGGCGGTCAAACCTTTAAGGGCGGGTCAAACTTCGGTGACAAAAAACAGTTTTTTTTTTTTTTCTTTTCAAAATAAAAGTTGGGATTTTAGTTAAAAAAATGAGTTTATACTTTATTTTATTTATATTAACTGTTATTATTAAAGAATCTAATGATGTATGCCAAGAATGTTGAAGAATAAATTTAAATTCAAAAAAATTGCTTTTTTATTTATATTTTATACGGATATTTATGTACTATGATCTTATCATTATTAAATATTTATTATGTTATTAGGATATCATTATGGGATATAACTATGTTTAAATATCTTGTTATATATGTTTTGAGTATTTATAAATAATATTTAAAAATATATTATATTAAATTTTAAATATCGATTTATTTTCGATTTATCACCGATTAATAACCGCCGCTCCGATTAATTGGGAGTTGGTGCCTAACCGCCTCCGACCCGCTTACCGCTCTTTACGGCCTTGATAGAACCAAACATATTTATTAATGATGTCAATAAAAAAAAATGATTCAAATAAAAATTATATTTCCGTAAAATTTCAATTATTTAAAAATAAATAATAAATTCTCATTACCAAAAAAAAGAAAAAAAAAAGGAAAAGAAAAGATGAAACTTCATTTGCAATTGGACTCAAATTTTATAAAGTTGATTTGATTCTAATTTGTTTTTTCCCCCCTTTTTTATAAATAATTGTTTTTACTTATATTGATATATTTTTGACAATACTAATTTTTATTGGTCCATTATAATTTATGTACATGAATTTAGCAAAAAAAAATGTATTATATGCAAATTACGGGCACCCCAAGGTATCGTCTTATTAATGAAAAACTGCTCATGTTTGGATAATTACAAGTTACAACAATTCCTTATTGTGTATTGTTTGACGAAAAAAATCATCATTCAGCAGGTAAATGTAACTATGTAAAGATGGATGTGTAAGATAATACTTAGTTGATGGGATGGTTGTAATTATTCAAACATGAGGGAATTTTTCATAATAGAACCTCACCTCATGGTGGTCATCGATGAGATTAGGAAATATTGGTCTTTGTGGCCTAAATAGCGGTTTAATTTTCTTCTCGCAACTATAATTTTGTCTCCCACAATCTAGCAAAGTGGGCTTTTGCTGTAAAATGGAAGGGGATTGTTCCCCTTGATATCCTTCCAAACTATTGTTTTTGTTTTTGTGACGGAGGATATCCTATTGTTGACTCTTGTATTTTCTCATTTTGCTAATTTATCCATTTTCTTATATAAAAAAAAAAAAAAAAAAAAAAAAAACATATATATTTTCATTAAAAAAAAAAGAAAGAAGAGGGAGGGGATTTTGTTGATAAATTGTCAAAGTAATTAGAAAAGAGGAGATAGCATTTTCGTGGAAGGAGACATGGTTCATTAATAAATAAATTAATTAATAATTGTAATTGGGAAGATTAATAGTCGTGTGATGTATTTATTTAGTGAAAAGAAATGAAAAAAAACAGGGAGGGAAAAGGTGGCGTGTTTCGAGAATCGAAAAGCCCCCAGTCAGTCCGCCGTCGTATCGTATCATGTATCGTGTGTTTAGTGTAGTGTAGTGTAGCTTCTCTCTGTCTCTGGAACACTCAACAGTCTCTCTCTCTGTTCTCTGTTCTCGAGGAGGGAGGGAGGGAGGGAGAGAGGCTTTTCTAATTATAATTATAATTATAATTATAATTAATTAATTCTTCTTTTCATATCCCATGCACGAATTGAATCCCACACTCAACTCACTCATCTTTATTTAAATTAATGAATTATTCACATTAATCCTCACTCAATCCCTCCCCCCTGCAAAATTCATCTTCTTTCTCCTCTTGGAAAATTCATTCAGAAATCGAAATGATCAAGAACAATGACACACAGACAGTGTCAGAAGAAGAAGAGGTGCATGCATCACCCTCACACAACAAATTTGCTAAAGTGTTTAGAGAGGAAGATGAAATAGGTGTGCTGGAAGGACTTTATGTTTATTGGAAATGCAACGGAGTTAATCATGAATGGAAAAAATATCATGATTTCATAAAGGATGATCTTCCTCACCACTTTTCATCCACTCAACTCTCTGAGAAGATCCGAAGGCTCAGGCTCAAGTTCCAATCCAATTCAAGAAATAATAATATTCATTTTCGCAATGCACATGAATCTCTCGTGTTTGACTTGTCAAAGAAACTCTGGGAACAAGAATTTATCAGCACCTCCACAAACACAACACCACCACCACCACCACCATCAGATGTTGGCAGAAAAATATGTGATGGTGATGCTGATTGTGATGCTGATGATGGTGATGGTGATGGTGATGGTGATGGTGATGGTGATGGTGATGGTGAGGACAGCATGAAAATAGCATCAAAGAAACAAGAATTTGATGCTGCTTCTTTTCCACATATATCTGCATTGTTTGACCGCTTTGGGTTTTCTGCATCTAAATACTTAACTGGGGTTAATAACAAGAAATTGAAAAAGCTGGAGAAGCAGTCAAGAAAATTGATTATGCAGGAGAATCAACTCCTTCTTGAAGAGATGCTTCTTAGAAAGAAACAGTGTGCTCTTGTCGTTTCTGCCTTCAAAAAATGCAATTCTTGATCCATCACGTACCCATGCATGCAGGTACTCTTTCTTTACTTACTTTTTTAGTTTGGTGAGCATAATATATATGTATATGATATGCCTTGCTTGCTAGATAAATAAAACAAATATATTGTTACAGTCACAAAATGTAATTGTAGCATCAATGTTCAAACACCACTGGCCTGGTGATTTTTCTTCATTAATAATGTATAATTGATCTAGCATCATCAGCATGCATTTAATTCCTCTTTTGTCTATTTGGCTCTGTTGAGATTATACACAACAGATTTATAATTTGCTTTATTCATTGTGTCCTTCAATTTCTGTGTTGATGATTACAGGTTTTTGGAAAAGATGGGGAAGAAGGTATTCAGAGCTGCTGGCTTCAACAAGTTGTTTTTGATGAACTAATATTACTATAGCTTTCTACTCAAGTATTAATTAGTACTAGTAGTGATAAGATTATTATTAGGTTTCTACTTTTTAATTAGCTTAATTAATCAATGTAATGGCATTATTGTAGATGCTTTTGGACATGTTTTTATGTTGATATGAATGTGGGTGGTGATCTATGATATGCAGAAGAAGCCTGATGGATGATTTCTTGCAAGAGTTTGAACATATTTACTTTTTATCTAGATTATCAATAATTTTTTTTTTTTATCCAACACAATATCGATGACAATACATATTTTGGATGAATTTGACATAGACCCATAAATTCAAGTTTCACTATAAATAGGTTCTTTGGGAGGTGATATTTGCGGTAGTATGTTAAGAAAAAATTATTTTAAGCGCTGCTAAAGGACTCGAACACGAGTTCTTATTGTGCAAGTATTAACTTACCTAACCAACTAGGCTACATCGATTTTGATATCTAAAACTTATTTAATTATAATTATTCTTTTCGTTATACTAGGCAAAAATTCATTTATACGCGCTGCTGCCAAGACTCGAACACAGGTCTATTATGTAATATACGAGTCCGCTGACCAACTAGGCTACAACGAGTAACACTTATTTAAATATATAATCATTCATTTCGTTTATACTGGGCCAAAAAAAAAAAATTTGAACCGGACGACTGGTCCAGGCGTGCAGACCCTTGACCGGCGTCTGGACCGGACGCCCGAACTAAATTTCCTCGCTTGGTTTAGGCGTGGAAACTGCTTTCACACGCCCATTTTGGGCGTGGAAAATTCGAAAACCCAACACTAAAAACAACTCCAGATCGCGATTTTCAGGGGATTTTCACACGATTAACCACAAATTCAATATATATAACTACTTTAGATGATTAATTACCTTTCAAATTGACGAGATTTTCAGATTTGGAAGGATTGGTGAGAAAGGTTGAGGGTTTTTGTGAATTTTAGGGGTTTTGTGGGTGTTGGGTGGATTTGGAGGTTTTTAGAAAGAGAAAGAGAAGACTATTGTGAACGACATTCGTAATTTTGTTGCCGGGTAAATCACTTCAGATTCTCAAAATAGCCCTACATATTTCTATTTGAGATAAGCCCAACCTACCCGTCCGACCCGGACTGGTCTGACCCGATCAATTTTTTTTTTTTTAGAAAAAAAAAACACTAATTAAATCTTTTATCCGGCGGCGGGGCGTTGGAGCTCCAATTAACTGACTCAACATTAGTTAACTTTAACATTGGTAGACATCCTCTTTTTTTTTCGGCGGCGGGTCGTCAGAATTCCTGTTAATTAGCTCACTCAACATTAGTTAAGTTCAACAAAAGCGTAACGCTCCCCTATCGATGTATTTTTACATCCCAAAGCTTCGGCAGATCGCTTAGCCCCGTTCATCTTCGGCGCAAGAGCGCTCGATCAATGAGCTATTACGTACTTGATATGCCTAATTGGCCCAACCCAATGGGCCTACAAATTATTTACCTACTGGGCCACGAGCCTAATATCGAAGACCACTATCACCGAGGCCCAATCACCTTCAAGCAAGGTTTGGGCCCGACAATCTCAACTAAGCTATAAATACACATTTGAACTCATTCCATAAGGTACGTCCTATTAACTGAGCAATCCTACAATACGTATTCTCTGAACTATTTCTACTATCAGCACGTCTGACTTGAGCGTCGGAGGGGTTTCCGCCGGATCAACCCCCGGCTTAGTTCATGTGTTCTATGATCGCAGGTGCCTCAGGATCATCAAGTTGTCAAGCTACTGATCTGCTTTGCTCTCCCAGTTCTTTTATCCGGCGGCGGGGCGTTGGAGCTCCAATTAGCTGACTCAACATTAGTTAACTTTAACATTGGTAGACATCCTCTTATTTTTTCGGCGGCTAGTCGTCAGAAAAGCGTAACGCTCCCCTATCGATGTATTTTTACATCCCAAAGCTTCGGCAGATTGCTTAGCCCCGTTCATCTTCGGCGCAAGAGCGCTCGATCAATGAGCTATTACGTACTCTTTCAAGGGTGGCTGCTTTTAGGCAAACCTCCATGATACACGTAGTAATCATAGAAATATTAGCAATTGAGTTTTTTTCTAAACGGAGCCTGGTTACTTCATTTCTTGAGTCCAACCAAAGCCAACTATAAATTATTCTAATTAATAAAAGTACTATGAATTCCCATTTTTTTTTACTTAAACTAATTAATGTTTAATCAGCTAATTGGAGTCCTGAATATCCAAAAAAAAAAAAGAGTTAAACGGAAAAAAAAAAAAAAAAAAAAATTGGTCGGATGTGCTAATGCAAAGTTAACTAATGCATAGTCAGCTAATCAGAGCTTCAATGTCCCGTTGCCGGAAAAGAAAAACAAAAAAAAATGTTAAAAGAAAAAAAGTTGGACGTTAGCTAATGTTGGAGTCAGCTAATACGTAGTCTGCTAATGCAAGTCAACTAATCAAAGCTCCGATGACCCACTGCCGGAAAAAAAAGAACAATTAAAAAAAGAGATAAAAGGAAAAAAAAATGATATGTCAACTAATGTTGAAGTTAACTAATGCTGAGTCAGCTAAGCGGAGCTCCGACGAACAGCTGCTAGAAAAAAAGAAAGAATAAAGATGTCATTTTTAATGTTAAAGTTAACTAATGTTGAAGTTAACTAACATTGAGTCAGCTAACCGGAGCTTCGACGGCCCACCACCGAAAACAAATTAAAAGAAAGAAAAAAAAAGGACAAAAATGGAATATCAATTGTCAACTAATGTTAAAGTTATCTAATGTTGGGTCAAATTATAGTAATGAGAAGTTATGGAATGTGAAAAGAAAACAATGGAATATTTTATATGGATTGATAAGAATGGAAAACAATGTTGTGTATCTCTTCTATCTCGTACTCATTTCTCTTTAATGGTTCACAATTTGGCTCATTAATGATCTGGAATCGGCTATCCGAAGGTTTTGGTGGGGAAATGGAAATGACAGGAAGATGCCGTGGTTAGCGTGGAATAGAATGTGCATGTCGAAAGCTGATGGTGGTCTTGGATTTCGGGATTTGCGTAGTTTCAATATAGCATCAGTCGGTCCAAATCGGCTTAAAAGAGCCTTTGAAAACTCGTCCCATGACAAGGGTCCTCGGAATTTTGTTAACCACCGGTGCCACAGCAAGGCGATCCCCTCAAGATGGTCCCCTCAAGATGAAAGGAAGCGAGTTGAACATGTTGCATCGCTGGGATATTTTGAAATTCAAAATACTGCTCCGGCTTGTATATTCACCCCATTGGATCATTGCCGGTAAAATTTGGAAATTGCAACTTGAGGTTTGTGTTTGGAAGAAGAGTTGGAGGTGTGCTAGTTGTCGCTATGGTTGTATTTGGCTTGACTGTTTGTGATGTTTCTCCCGCAGCAAAGGGGTTGACATCATTTTCGGGAACTTTATGTTGTGCAGAAGAAGCCCGTAGAGCTTGAAGCTCTTTGAGGACAATTTGGAGGGTATTGTGTATTTGATCGAAATTGGATTCATGTTTTGCAAGGATTTCGAGAACCTCGGTGCGAAACTCGGCATTGGATTTATTTCGAGTTTCCATGAAACCTGGCTCTGGCTCTGATACCACTGATATGTTCCAAGTCTTTTAGGAACCTGAATTTTGAAGAATAAGAAGAGATTAGAAAAAGAGGGATAGTAAGAAGATTTAAGAGGAAAATTATTTTCTGTACTCAGTTCCTTCCTTACATTCTTCTCTATTTATAAACTAAAATTATAAGCAACCAACTCCATTCCCTAGAATTGAGCAATACGTGGGAATAAGCCTCACTCCACTCCTGCCAACTAATTAGGCCTATTTTATGCATTACTAATTCTACTAAGTATTTACTAATTATCCACTAATTAATTTACTAATTAATCTAGCTAATATTTATACTAACTTCTGCACGTATCATTCTGATATACTTAATACTCCCCACATAAACCGAGTTGTTTAGAGGAAAGATTGCCACCTCTCCACTGTGCATTATTGGGCAGCCAAAACCAGTGTCTATGTGGGATTGGATAACTCAATGGCTGCAACGGTTAACGGATGATTCCTTTCTCTTGGCGGTCGTCGTAGTGTGGAAAGCTTGGGAGTCAAGAAATCGAGAGATGCATGGAGAGCAAGGGATGGCGACGGACGAGTTTATTAACTGGGGTCTAACTTTTCTCAATTTGTATCAACAAGCACAACTTCCACGTACTCTCATAAAGCAACGCACTCTTCCAACGGAGTGGAAACCGCCTCGAGAAGGAATAATTAAACTGAATTTCGATGCAGCTCTTCCAGCTGGAACAAACCATTATTCAGCGTCTGTGATAGCTCGAGATTGGCGGGGTGACTGTATTTTTTGGGCAGCTAGAAGCTTTAGAGGCCGACCAAGGGCAGTCGATTGTGAAGCTCATGCTGCACTCTTCGCATTGACTAGAGCCAAAGAGGAAAGTTGGCCATCAATTATTCTGGAAGGAGATTGCCTCAAAGTTGTCGAAGCTCTTCGAGGAGAGGATGCTCAATCATGCTCGTTTGGCGCTTATGTCGAAGAGTGCTGGTGTGTGGCTAAATTTTTTGAAAGTTGTGTCTTTGATTTTGTTAAACGTTTGGGAAATATTTTAACTCATCTTATAGCTAAAAATTATGGTGACTCTTGTAACGAAGGTTATACCCTTCCTTCAGATTTGGCAAGATATGTCTAAATAAAGTTATTTTTTCCTAAAAAAAAAAAAAAAAAAAAAAAAAAACTCAAAGAATGAATTAGAAAAATGTGGATCGAAAATAGAAGATGTAAAACTCAATAGGACATGTAAAACTTCAAGGTTTCAAAAGAAAAAAAATGATTAATTTCGTTCATGACAATGATGATTATAATGCGAAATATCTTATAATATTATAATTAGATATTTACTGATCTTTAAATTATTGTAACAACATTAGTGTTCAATATTCATACAAATTTGATAATAAAGATGTATTCA